TTGCAGATAGAGACGGGGGGATGATCGTCCAAGTAACTATATGCTAATTCTTACAGACAAAGGGTAAAGCATTAATTCATGTTTGTGGCCACAAAATCCATGACTTCAAAACTTTTTATCTGGATTGCACAAAGAAAAAAAATCATTCAAAAGAATTCATAAATGATTTGCTGGCATCATGAGGAATAAGCCAGGCACGAAGCATCGTTTTTCAAGAATTGGGGGTTAATTGATGACGTCTGAAAAACTTTGACAAGCATACCCCCTTCCCCGAAAAAAGAAAATAAATAAAAGAAAAATACCAAAACTTGCAAAACTTATTTCGGGGGGGGGGGGGCAATTTATTACCATTAAACCTGCTGAAGAGACTTCTATACAATATCCAGGAACCTTGCTAATGCCCTTAAGTACAAAACAGTAAAGCTTCAGTCTCATCAGACACTTCTATTGTTTTAAATACAGATGGAATTACAGGTACAGGTATTGAGATGCATACATACATGTTATACGTTACCTTAGATTTTTGTAACATGATTTTCACCTCTAATTTTACATACTCGGTAAATTAAAATGGTATCAGATAAAAATATACAAAAAACAGTATCACTATATTTCATTTAACCGAAATCCAAGGCTTGATGCGCGAGTCAAAGGAGGACGAAATGTGTATGTAATCTCTTAATTATTTGTCTTTACAAAATTCAGGAGGCAAAGACATGTTATGCTATTACTTTTGTTTAATTCGTTTTAGACTTTCCGATGAGGATGACAGTTATTAGAATAATAATAAATAACTTAACATGCAACTTCTGGAAATACAAGTACTGTACCCCACCCCACCCCTTTTTTTTTTTTTTTTTTTTTTTGTTGTTGTTGTTGTTGTTGTTGAATGGATTATTCAGTAAAGGTCGACAAAATATTCTCATGGTGTTTTTGATAAATATTAAAATGGTTCTTGAAGGAATCTAACTTGCGAAGAACAAAGTAAAACACTCACGGCCAGCACCTAGACCATTTGACAGACTAATCGATTTATGAAAGTATCTTTTAATGATCGAGTTTTCACTTGATAAATATATATAAGCTTCTCTGAAACAAAAATCGTAAACAAAGTTTTAAACTTCAGAATGTTTTAAATGTAGAAGAACTGCTCTCTTAGACGATAGAAACTGAGCAATTGTCATTTAACGGAACTAAAAGCACAGCACTTCCTTGAGCAGTGTTTGGTAACACACACCCCCCCCCCCCCCCCCCAACCGCCCTTCTTTTCCTCGGCAATTCTGAGTGACATTTCCTTCACAGGTGGCCTGGCAGGTATAACAGTTCTAGTAAAACTGATGAGCATGTTATATCTCTATATTGCTATTCATAATTAAATAGATATGTGTAGCACAAGAGTTTTGATGGAAATGTGCTACATGTATTACATTTGTATATTTGAAGAATTTTCCCCCGTTAATGACAGATCTACTAGAAATTATAGGGAAAGAATGGAGCGACTAATACATGTAGTTTATTTGGGGGGATATCATACATGTACTTAAAATACGTCGAAAGTAACATATATCTTAGTCATTCCATATACTTCGATTTTTCGGCAAGTGACAATATCGCTAAGATTTTAGTCGAACTTATAATCTATAAAGACTAGTTAAAAATTATTAAAAGCGATTTCATATCCATATATCTCGGATGAACCAACGGTAAATATTTATAGAAATGTCTTTTGCACCTGTGCTCAATGGAGGATTTCAAGGGGATGTTGGGGAGGATGTCCGCAACAACCCCTACACCCCCCCTTTCACACAAATACACACAGAAACACACTAAAAATTCTTACAATACATCTTAATTTTGCTTGCATAAGACTCTATAAAAAAAGTGTGAACAAAAGCATGTGTGACTTTCGATATTTTAATAGAGAAAATTACGAATTTCACCGAGTATACGGGAGCATTTTTCCTGGTGGGGGTAGGTATCTAGAATTTTTTTTAAAAATATTTAATATAAGAAGGGGGGTCATTATCCAGTATCATATAAAATCGCTGGGGATTTATAGATATTTTTAAGAGAAATCCATTTGCTATTTGCTAAGGGACCTGTATAAAGGATAAGAAGTCGACCCCCCCCCTCCCGTTCCAGTCAACCCACTTCTAGTTAGTTCTTGCTCATACACAAATCAATCAATAAAAGGGTTCAATACAAATTTATTTCGGGGGCAGGTTGCGTATCTCAAATAAACGGATTATCTATATTTACATGTACATCAAGTACTACTATATCAATGCTGCCTTGGAGAATTGTTGTGCCTTACACCTGATTAATCAGTAATTATTTGTTTACAGTACACAAGACTTCAAACTAATGTTTTCCACAGTTTAACTCTTTATTATTATTTTTTTTTATTGATTCATGTGTGAGATTTCACTGATCTGTTACAAACTATTGAGGGTGACGTCACAATGGCTTGAAAACTCTCGATTTGCACACTAAATATGCACCTCTTAGCTGGAGGTGAAACAAGTGGGCGGATCATGGATCTTCAAATTTCAAAGACCGATTTCTGTACTTAAGACATTCCAGTTTCCTTTCCTCTTGTGATATTCAATTACCTGGTTAAAGGAGAACTTTCTACAAACAATTAAAAGTACGTGTGCTGAACAACAAAGACAGTATGCCTTATATTACGTACAATGCTTAATCGCCATTTTGCATTAGAAAAGTTCGGGAAAACAGTGTACCTGTGACGTCGTATTTTACAACTGTGACGTCGAGTAGTGGTTGTCTGCATAAGGAAGCTGCTGTAAATTTGGTAGTGTTTACATCGCTGCGTTTTTCTGGGCGTTTCGTTGGATTTAAAAGTTGTTACGATTGTGAAAACATATGTAAGTGTTTGCAATTGTCGTGCTGAATACGCATCGGTATGTATTTTCGTTTGCTGCGAGTCATTTCTTCAGTCGGGTCTCCATTCATGTTCATGGGGACTATGAAGCAGTGCGTTGTTGGCAATGTTTAACGGATATCTACAACTCGGAAGGAACGTTTTGCGATAACAGTGGAGTCGTAGCATAATATAATGACGGAAATTCGATGGATTATTTTAATATCGCCGTTTTACTGCAGAAAACTGCAGAATTTAGCGAGAAAATAATGACGCATGCGCAGATGGGGGTTAGTCGTTTTTTGATGCCAGGCATCGACTAACCCCCATCTGCGCATGCGTCATTTTCTACAGATACAACAGTAGAACACCAGATACACTGCATAAAAGACATTTACCCTAGAAATGATAATTATGACTGAAAATAAACAATAAAAATATGAAATTGGAACACAATAAAAACATGAATGAATAAAAATAAACAATAATTCAATTATATTAGCTTCTTATATACACACTTACCCATTTAGACAGTATCTACTACAGTGAAAACTGATATTTCAAGCAAAACTAAGTTAGTCTTCAGGCACTACACCTGATTTTAAAATTTTATGAAAATCCAGGATTTATAATTAGTCTAAGATTAAATAATTCCCTGTTGAAAAATAATTTAGTAAGCATGGAACTAGTATGTTATCACATGTATATCAATACATCGAAATGTACGTTTATATGAAAATGAGATTTAATATACGTACATATAGTAAAATATACATGTAAGCTGGATTTATTTTAAAACATGACGTCCCATTCTTGTTCATGACGTTGCATAAAGCAACGTCGAAATATCGCAACGTTATCGTAAACTATGCTACCTTTACGTTTATATAAAACATAAATAAAGCTTTGTAAATGCATATATTGATAATTTCATGAAAATATGCACTTTCTCAAAGAGTTTTAAGGAATACTATTTAATTTTGACACGGGGCCGAATTTTGCACCAAACGCACCTTGTCCTTTGTATGGAAGCATCTGCAGGTGGTGTAGTTCAAATTTGTTCCAATTATGACCCCCGGGGGTAGGGCGGGGCCACAATGGACAATCAAAATTTTACATAGGAATATATAGGAAAAATCTTCAAAAATCAAGAACAGCAAAGCTATGCTTTGTCATATTTATTTGGAAGCATCCTCAGGTGGTATAGATTCAAGTTTATTCAAATCATGACCCCCAGGGGTAGGGTGGGGCCACAAGGGACGATCAAAGTTTTACATAGGAATATTAACGAAAAATCTTCAAAAATCTTCTTCTCAAGAACAGCAAAGCTATGATTGGTCATATTTATATTGGAAGCATCCTCAGGTGCTGTAAATTCAAGTTTGTTCAAATCTTTACCCCCAGGGTTAGGGTGGGGCCACAATGAGCATTCAAAGTTTTACATAGGAATATATAAGAAAAATCTTTTAAAATCTTCTCAAGAGCAGCAAAGCCACGGTTTGTAATATTTATATGGAAGCATCCTCAGATAGTGTAGATTCAAATTTGTTCAAATCATGACCTCCAGGGATAGGGTGGGGCCACAATGAAAGTTCAAACTTGTAGAAAAAAAAGTCACAGTTAGTCAAAAAATTATGTAAGCATCCTTAGTTAGTGTAGATTTAATTTTGTTCAAATCATACCCCCCCCCCCCCCCCACACACACACACACTCCCTTTTAGGGGTAGGTTGGGACCATTTATGCATTTAAGCTTTTCAATACTAAACTGATTTTCCCTTTTTTCCTGGCCACAGTGCTCAGGTGAGCGATGTGGCCCCTGGGCCTCTTGTTCAGTCATCCTGTTATGACAATGTAGTCTGCATTAAATTGCCATTTGGAACACGTATACCATACAGTGTACCTTTATGAGCTGAAGAGGTTATGTTGTGAATTCTTCTTAGTACCCTTATTTCACTTTCTTCTGGTTTCTAACAATTTAAATATGTTTATTGAAGACAATCTTTCTTAAGGTTTTGAACTAAGAAAAGCTGTTCAAGGCTTTGACCCCTAGAAAAACCAAGTACTGATCCACCTTGAGAATGACATTTTATGAACCTGTTATTGTTTCTCTGTTTGCAGGAATGAGATAGAGAAGGTGAAGAAATCTCTAGAGAAAGACAATGCCATAGCGATGGAGTCCATGAAAAACAAGATGAGGGAAATGGCCAAAGCTCACAATGCTGCGATGTCTGCCCTGACACGACAGTATAAAGAGGAAATAGTGGAGATGAAGGAGCGATCGACAGACAAGTGTCTCAGTGACACAGAGGTTCAGGTTTGTGTAAGATTGAAACACTCATACAAGAGTCTCAGTGACACAGAGTTCAGGTTTGTGTAAGATTGAAACACTCATACAAGAGTCTCATTGACACAGAGTTCAGGTTTGTGTAAGATTGAGACACTCATACAAGAGTCTCATTGACACAGAGTTCAGGTTTGTGTAAGAATGAAACACTCATACAAGAGTCTCAGTGACACAGAGTTCAGGTTTGTGTAAGAATGAAACACTGATACAAGTGTCTCAGTTAAACTGATGTTCAGGTTTGTGTAAAATTAATGCACTGATTTAAACAATTGTCTCAGTGACACAGAAGTTGAGGTTTGTGTAAGATTAAAACACTGGTACAAGTGTCTCATTGACACAGAAATATAGGTTCATGTAAGATTCAAACACTGAATGCAGAAACAAGTGCCTCAGTGACACAGAAGTTCAGGTTTGTGAATGCAAGGTTACACACTGAAGCGGGGTAAATCAGACTTGTTTTAAGAAAGAATCTGATTTATTATACTCAAGTAGACAAAACTTGAATTAGTATTTTTATGTTTCAATTTTTAAATTAAAATTTTGTTGCTCAAAGATTCCTTCTATCTTTAGACTGACTCTGAGGACCTCAGTGATGAAAGCATGTTTGAGTTGAGGGACCAGTACCTGGACACTGTCAATAAGATCAAAGGTCAGGGTTCAAGTTATTTTTAACCTGCTGCAAAATCAAAATTTCACTTTAAATAGATCTTCAATGTGAAATCATTGTGCTGTTACATGTACATGAAACAGCTGATGTTGCTTAATTGACTTGAGTACGCCTTGTTCATGTGCAGAATCAAGCCATGGATAGGTTCTCTCCATTCTGATCTTATTCTATCTGGCAATATAAAAAAGATTTTTTAACAATTTATTGACATTTAAGTGCCAAAACTAACTTGCTAATACAGTAATGTAATTTGTTAGCAATAACTGAGGCAGGCTACTGACAGATAAGTTGTTGTTACAGTTTAATGGATTAAATGCTTTTAGATGATGTCATGAAGCACATAACAGATACAAACATGCGAGCTGCCGAAACTGTCCGACAGGAAATGCAGAAGGAACGTCACACCACACTCGCTCAGCTCAAAAAGATTTATATGGAGAACGTCCGCAAAGTCCTACACAATGAAATCATTGGGTAAGCTTAATTTTGCTAAGGAGAATTGACCCTATGGTGAGGGAGGTAACTCAGAAATTCATAAATCAGAATTCTTTAAATATTTATTTTTTCTTAATCTTTATTAAAAAAAAAAAATACTGAATCAATTTGTGCTGATTCATATTAATATTATTCAGTTTGAATTATGGCATAGTGATTATATTTAAAAGAGCACACAATCTTAAATATTGTGTTTTAAGAAAGATTGCCAAAAATGTTCTATTCAGACAAGTTGGAATTAATTTCATTTGATGATTTGACCATGTTTGCTTATTAAGATAATAAATGTTATTTAATTTATCAATATTTTTATTGACTATCATTACTGCATCTCATGCAAATATCGTACATAGCTTTAGTCATTCAACATCATTTTCTTATAGGCTCACCGATATACCATTAGTTACCAGTAGTTGGGTAAAATAAAAGAAGAAATTACTAGTCATCCCAGATTATCCTTGAAGATCCATTCCCAATATTTGTTTGCTATAATAATTGATGTTTATCCTTTTAATTTGTCTATGTTATAATTGACTGTGTACAACAATGACAATATGAACAAAAATCTGGAACTATCCCCATGTCCACATGATGTCAGAATCTCTTTATTTGTTAATACTGGATTCAAATGTGCAACTTCAATAATGTCTATTAGCAGTTATGGGTAGCCTGCCCGAGTCTGTCAGGCACCTGTTGCTATGCATGACTGCTAAAGACCTCCTGTTATGTGATAGTATCGTTTACCTGTCATCCAACTAAAATTAAACTGATGGTTTGAAAAGTTGTTTCCATTAAATTTAAATGTTACTCATCCCTTTTCCTGGAAAAAATGTGTTAAAATTTGTTTTTAATCATAGAGGTGAAAATTGTTTATATTTACCATCATGATGTTTACTGAAAGTGAGTGTTTGTTATGAGTAAGAAACAGAATTAGTCCTTGAATATAATCGGTCAAATTTCTCTTTCCCTTTAAAATGAATCATTCATGTATGTTTCAGTATCTGATGTTCAAACTGTAAGGTCAACTCTATGTAGTTTGACAATTAGAGCACTTGTCATGTACAACCAACCATTTTCAACTCACTAAACTTTTGCATTGGTAATGGTGTTTCAGGGTGCATTTTTGAAGCATGTTCATTTCCCACCATTACTTTACATCTATCTGGACCAAACTTGCAAAGATATCACATCTGAGACAATTACTCTTAAGTATGAATTTAAGCCCTGCCTGGACCAGACTGAAAACTGTATTATGTCTTACTTTCCAGATGAGTGATCAAATTGTACATGTAGGTTCTGGAGCAGGTACACTTCTGAGTTAATCAATCTGCAGCAGAAATGACATGTTAAATAATGCAGGAATTTTGATTTAGTAGTTAAATCTGACTTGCATCTTCAAGATGAGCAGCTTTAATCGTTAAAAGGGACAGGTCTAGTGTCAAGCATAAAGGTCTGCAAGATTTACCTAGACTGGGCCTATTCAGTAAAAAATCTCTAACTTAAAAGCTAATGAAAACATTGAATTCATTATTTATAATCATGCAACTTTCCTCACTAATCCATTACTTTATTGAGGTGTAATCTGTAATCATGGAGTACCTATGTTTCATGTGTTATCTACAAAATCATGTTTTGAAGAGAAAAAAAATAGGTCTAAAAATACATCATTACCTTACTTTTTAATTTTTCTAAAACTTCATTTGATGTTGTCAACACTATGATTGTTATTTTCAATGAAGATTAAAACATGATCCTTTTGTAAATCTGCTATTCTGCATGGAAAAGATGTTTAATAAACAGTCTTGGATGTCATGCTTTATTTGAATTTATGAAGCCTCTTTGATCAATATTAAGTCATCAAATTTCCTGAAATTTCACAAAACATTGACATTTTTTTTTTCTTAATTTCAGAGCCAATATCGAAGCCAAGCTAGCAGACATAGAAGAAGCTCTGGATGCAATTTCTTTTGATAAAAGTTCAAGGTCAAGTTCAAGGTCAACAACACCAAGGAGTGATATGTCAGCACCCATTTCGGGTCAGGGACATTTAGAATCAAAGTCAGACTATGGGGTGAAATTTCAAGGAAACAGAGATATGAACTCTGGACTGGGAAAGTCTGCTTCTGATTTTAGACAAAATGATTTTCACTCTAAACACAATGGCTACTCCACTGTGTCAAGGTCATACCAGGATATCCGTGTTGCACCCATATCAAGGTCAAATGATTACATGCCAATGACAAGGTCACATGATTATTCCAGTGAAAGGTCCAAGTCACGTCCACGATCAGCAGGTGATGGATCTGCAAGAAAGACAGAAGACCGGGTTCCATATAAAATGAACAGTGATTTGCATTTGGAAATTTCATCAAAAGGATCGCCATCGAATAATATTTACCACAGTCCACCCCAACGTAGCTTGAAACTTTCTCCAGAAAGGCTAGAAAGTCATCATCCAAGAGAGAAAAGTCGAACAAATCGTATTCAGAGAGACAGATCGGTCAGCAAAGAAGTGACATTTAGTAAAGACTGCAAGAGGTCGTCTCCAGATAGAATGGAATACGGAAGACTGCATCCCAATATCACCTCTAGAAAACTTTCCCCGCGTGACCATTCCACTTCAAACGAGAATTCTGATCAGGAATACAATAGCCCCCGGACATTTAAATTGGGGCAGTTCAATGGTGTCGACTTGCTTCCTAGTAGATATGTTGTTCCTTCTTTGAGGGATCAGAATTCAAATAAATTTGAAGCAGTTGATCCACATCCTGTGGAGCGGAAATCCAAACTTCAACAGGAAGAGATCGCAAGTCCCACTTCTTCACTTAACCACAGTGCCCTCTATAAAGCGAAATCAGAATCAGAGCTCAGTATGGAGCAAAAGAACAGTTCATTAGGAGGAAGCTACAAATACCTTCCACTCAGGGATGCCCTCAATAAACCCAGTGACCTTACTGATTCCCCCAAAGGCAGCAGCTTGTCCCAGGAGGATATTAGATTTTCAAGCATGCAGGCTATGAGTTTTGATGGTAAGAAAGCTTACAGTGTTGATGTGGGTTTGCAGAGTTTGGGTTTAGACTCCCGCTCCCCCAGAAAATTTAACCCCTCCCCAGAAAAACTGACCCCTCAAAGAGATGCTGGTGAATCTCCCATGGGCACACCAAGAATGCATAGGAAGAACTACTCCCATGATAAAGATGGCTTCGGTGATGTCGAACATGTACGGAAAAATCTTGGCCAAGGTTTTAGTGCGGATAGCTGGACTGAGGTATTACTTAGAACAAAAGAACCAGTTAAAAACCTTGTTCAGAAGTTTGAGCCCAAGAGTCAGTAACTTTTGTGTGGATTAAAATAATTAATGAGCTGTTGGGATGTTATAAATGTTGATAACTTTTAAATGATGGGAAAATCTGCCTTTTAATTTTATTGACTCCAGATATTATGAGATTGTCTATGTGTATGAGGGTTTTTTTTTTTTCCTTTTTACTTGAACAATTGAAAAATATTGGTTAAATTCTTGAGATTGCAACTTTGATCATCCAACAATTTTTACAGTTTTCCTAATGCAAAGGTTACTTGCCCAATGTTTAACCTAATCAACCAAAGCATCGATTCACAATAAATTGAAAGTAATATGTTTCTCCACTGTTGAAACGGGTAAATATAAACACTTCCAAACCAGTGTTATATCTGTGATAGACATTTTAAATCCGTCCATGCTTGAAGTATCAGTGTACATGTACAAAAGGCTGTAGTCATGCATATAAAAACATTATTAATATACATTAGACACCCTGTATGTAAAGATATGTATTAATGACATTCATGTTGTGTCCACTATTTTTACATTAATGGAATACCATGTACTCCAAAAGTAAATTAAAAATTGATAGTTTATGATTATTTGTGGACAAAGAATGAAGAAATTTCGCATACAAATATTGAATGTAATGTAATTTATGATGCATGTGATTTTTTTTTTCTATGTAATACTGATAACTTTTCCAAATTAATTCAACAATTCATCTGACAGTTTATACAGCAGTAGATTTTGATTACATTCTAAATCGAGTTTATTTACGCTTAAAAGCATCTTATGATGAAAATCACTTAAAGGAGAGCCCAAATGAGAAACACAAAAAAATTTCCATATGAAATTCATGTGAATTTCATGTGCAAACTCTTCTCATAGGAAAAAGAAATCATGAAACTGGTTACCTGTGTTCTCTTGAAACCTGGCAAAGTAAAATGTTAAGTGGAAGATTATAATGTTCATAAGCTCTATATTAAACATTCTGTGACTTTATTTGTAGAATTTTGGTGGTCAAGGTAAAACTGAAGTTATACTTGATAGCTTGCAGTTTTATTTCAGTTTTGATTGTTAATTATGGGATTGCAGGTGCTTGTTTTGAAGTATTAATTAGTTCAAGCCATAATCTAGTTGCAGCAGTTATCTGTTGCCTTTACTTAAAGTTCTTTTTTTCTTTTCTTTTTTTTTATAAGAGATTGTGCAGAATTAATTTTTATTTGTAGAGTTTAAAGTACAGAAAGGAACATGTACTTATTTAAGCTTGTATGATTATTATATCCACTTATTAAAATTAATATTTGATAGAACTATCTAAATCTTAGTTTAAAGCTCTCCTTGTTAAATAAATCTTACAGTTTTCACTGTCTTTTCTTTATCTTCACTGTGTTTATGGGTGACTTTGAACACTTTTCTGTTGTCCTTTTTCTTTTGTACTCTCTTTTATGAAACACCCTAAATATTAACTTGTGTGCTATATTCACACCTGCTTTATTTTTTTTTTACTTAAACTTTATATCCAACTGATAAATAAATAAAAAAAAACACAGTTAATTAAATAATTAGATACTGTAACTTAGGCATTGGGTTTTCTATTCTTAATATACACTGTTAATGCCCCTCGTGTCACGTTACTAATATTTCTTGTACTTTCGCTTTCTCTTTGTGTGTCTAACATACTAACAAGAGATATTATGTAACTATATGAGAGCCAATTAACTTTGAACTTGAAAAAAAATCTATTAATAATACTATTAAATAAAATAAATAAGAAAACCTATTTGCACTATTTTGATGAAAATTTATCGAGAAACAAAAATATAGTGCAAGTTTAGTGTAATGTACGAATGAAAAAAGCTGTTTCTGTACGTAGGCTTATTCAAAAGGATCCATCCTTTTTACATAGAAGAGTTCTTCAGTGTTTAATACGTTTGTAGGAAATATGTTTCCTTAATTGTTTTTTTTTTTTGGGGGGGGGGGGGGGGTAATTTATGTTCAATGTGTAAATTATGGACTATGTTTAACATTATGCAAAGTAACGATAGAAGTGTATTTTTAACTGCATTTACTTACCTTGGAGGGAATGTATAATATTTGTATATTTAATAAAATGAAAGATGCTTTTATATATATATATGAAATGTATATATTTTTAGTTTTAATTTATTTTGTTTCAAATAATGAGTCTGTAAAGGGACCAAACGTAAAATAAATATTTAAAAGAAAAAGGATTATTTTCTTCTTTGAAAAGATGCTAACGAGATCTGATTGGATTTTTCATGCCTATATAATTGGATGTGATACCTCATCCCATGTTCATGGCATTATAACTAGTCAAATACGCTTAATTATAGCAAAGTGTCTAGGACGACAATTTTGATTTGTTGTAAAATTAATTATTATAACTGTTTAGTTCATGATTTGTTTAAAAACAACAGGGAAAACTTACACATAAAACGTCCATTCATAATAAGTGTGTTCGATGTAACCCTGTTTAAGGAAGCTCTGAACACTGAGGAAAAATTCTTTTTTGGACTTGAAGGGGGAAAAAAAATTAAGTTGTACATATTGACTGTATCTAGTTCAATTTCAACACAGGGTACCTGCCTAATTTCCCTAGGAAAAATGTTCAAACAAAGTAGACTATTTGTGAACAGTTATGAACATAAAAGCGTTGTGTACTCACATTTGGAAATTTATGGAAATAATGAAGTTTAATATTACAAATTGTTTTAGAAGATTCCCATTTATTCTATCGTACCTTCTAATGGCAAATCGTCCTTACTGCATAAAACTACCCTACAATTAGAACTCAAGTATGTGGGATTTAGAGCTTCCTTAACTGTAATTTATAACCATTTGTCTGTTGAGATGGGTTTTTTTTTTATAGAAGGGTGTGTGCGGGTTTAATGTTGACCCATTCTCAACTACCACCCTATTTTCCTTTGTTACAAAAATTGAGGAATGTGATCCGAATGAATGTTGCCAGTATAGATGAAAGGTCAAATTAAATATCCGTGTACATTGTAAAGAAGGTCTGATAATCCTTCCTGGAAAAGGAAAGTATTCATTTAGTTAATGAACTCAGAGAAAGGTAGATCATGGAAGTATTAAGAGGATTTTTACTGGCGAACCAGGATACAAGAGAAAAAAATGTCCGGATTGGAGTTTGTCCCCAGTAATTTGTATACTTTGGATGCTGGTTTGAAATCAGCTGTTAATTTTCCTTTCAATTTGATAAACATTTGAATTTGCAAGAAGACGATATTTTTTACATAAAGAAAAGTATCAGGTTAGCAAAATATTGAAGTTAAACAAAGTTTTTAATATTAATGTAACAGCATGCGTCCATACTTGTAAAAAAATTAGTTAGATTGTAATTTTGGTCTTTTCTGGGGGATATGCTATAAATGATCACAAATGATGTCAAACATTTAACCTTACACTTTAGTAGTTTCTTTTAGTGGCGAGTATACTAGTAATCAGAGCTTGGTCAATCATGACGCTTCTTCATTATTTGCGTTTGTGCTTCATGAAATATGCCTACATGACACACCAATATCTCACACAAAACTTAAAAACAGTCCTTAAGGACCCTCTATACTCCAGTAAAAAGTGTTGAACAATGAACAGAATCACTGTTGTTTACTTCTGTGGGGGAAAATACATGCAAATAAAGTGTTCAATTAATTTATCTTGGCCTTTTTAAAATGTTATGAATACTTAATTGATTACAAATTGAGTATAATACACTGTAAATTTCAATTTATTGGAATTGAGATCTCAGGGCAGATCACTCTAACCGCAGAAAAATACCATAGAATCAGATGACAAAATGCGTTCCATCCATCCTTCTGTCTTCAGAAATTCAGAAGAGAGAAAAGAATTGATAGGTTACTTGATCTTGTCAGCTGGAACCTGTACAAACTACAGCTGACCAGGCATGTAAAAAATCTTTATACATGTAATGTCATATGATAATTACAGTTGTATTTCAGATCCAGGATCTTCTATTTTAGAAGTGGTAATCTTTTTTTTTTTTTTTTTTTTTTTTTTTTTTTTTTTTTTGTTTTTGTTATTACTCATACTTCTCTTTTTAATTAAAAGATTTTTTTTTAATCCGTTGATAAGTTTTCAAAATTTTCAATGTTCCCAAAATATACTAAATTTGAATTATTCCAAAGCTTCCTAAAACCTTTTCATATATAGATACATAGCAGGACCTAGTAAATGTTCTAGCAAGCATTTTCTCCTCATGTCAGTAACAACTTGAAGGAGAAAATTTAGCTGTATTGTGCAGCAACATAATTGAGAGGTAGTGTTAAGAAATCACCGTCTATTTTGTTGGGTATGCCTGGTCATTAACGACAGAGGGCAACGTGGGATAAATTGTAAAACAGGCCTCTGTCGATAATGACCTTGCATACCCAACTAACTACACTTCAGAACAATTTAAAAGATCTAAGAGCCATCAATATTAAACATTAAACTCCTTCTCAATAAAGAGAGCTTTTCGCTTATAGTTAGTGTAAGTTTTTTTTTATTTATTTATTCCTTAAGCCATATGCATGGCTTATCAGATTACATACTCATTAGGCAATTACAAAATACAAGATGTACATACATAAAATATTTACATACACATAGAATTATTTGTGTACAATATATCCAACCAAAAAAAAAATCCTTAGTTTACAGATTTGAATCTCTAAGTGCTTCTGCTTTCTGGAGGAATTTGCCTATATTACTTAGTTCACTCACATTTTCAGTTGATAATAATTGTAGAAGTTTATACATACTAGGTTTATACCAAAAATACTTTTTTATATATACAATTTCCTGCACTCATGATAAAGTGAACATTTCATAATAAAATGGTACTCATCTTCAACCTCTAATTGACAGAAAATTCATTATCTATTCTCTCTAGGAATATGAGTAAATCTGCCTTTCTCAATCATTAATAAATGTGCACTTAATCTATATTTTGCAATCAGTTGGATATACTTGTTAGAATTGGTCTCATTAAGTAGGATTGCATACACAGCTTATTTGTTAGAAAGCTATACACAGAACACTTTGGTGACGAAGAAAAAAAGCCTCACATTCTTCTTGAAAACAGTCAATTAATCTCTCTTGAAAATTGTTTAAAAAGATATTTTTGTTTGTAATATTTTGACAATACCAACATGACCAAGCTTCTCCAAACCCTAATGAAAATAGTAAATATTTTACATTAAGTAACCAATTATACTTTGTACAAGGACTTGTCACAATTCCTTCAAGCATATCTTGGTAAATACTTTTCAAATAACAATTTTCTGACTCCAATAATTTTAACCAAAATTTTATAATACGGATTTTCCTTCGAATTAAAAGAGGTAAGCGACCAAGTTCATTATCAAGATCATCAACGAAGAGGTATTTTTTTCTCTCATTTTATTCATAATTTCGAGATATTCTAAATGTATTTTCTTTATAGCATTATCATTGTGGAATCCCCATATTTCACTTGCATAATTCAATATACTACTTACATAAGTATCAAACAAAGATAATTAAAATGCACATTTTTCATTGACTTCAAAAGTTTAACATACATTTCCTCCCTTGAGTGGCCAATTTTACCTGAGAATAAGAATTACCTGTGTATGTCAGAGTGAGACCAAGATAAGTAAACTGATTGACAGTTTTAACTTCCTCGTCGTTATATTACCACTTAAAATTATAATCGACCAGATTTCCTAAATACTTCTATTTTAATTTTACTTACATTTACAGATAATTTCCAATCATTACAATATGAGTAAAGCACATCAAGCATTTTTTGTAAACCCTCAGGAGAATAAAAAAAATAATACCATGTCATCTGCATATAACATTAAAAACAATGACACTTCTTGGAGATTAATATCTTGACAATTAGACATGATGAAAGCATTCTCAAAATCATTTAAATATAAAGAAAAAAGTAGAGGAGACAGTGCCTCTCCCTGAAGGACTCTTTGTTCTACTCTAAAAAAGTCACTAAAATTGTTTTCGTATGTCACACAACATTCACCTAACATTCTTATACAGAGACCATATACTGTTAAACAATTTCTCGTTGATCCCTAATGTTTTGAGCTTTTTGAAAAGATAGTTTCTATTAATACTACCGAATGCCCTAAGCTCTTTCTTGGCCGTTTATCTTCTTCTTCTTCTTCTTCTTCTTCTTTTTTTTTTTTTTTTTTTTTGATATGATTATATTTTTGGAAAAGTAGAGTTTGATAAAGTACGGCGTTTTGATAGAAGAATTGCAAATGGAACGTCATTTCTTGTACATTAACATCGTAGGGCGGTAGAATTTCCAGCCATTACTTAAACTACGTGTATTAAATGCTCTCTTTGGTTGTCACATGTAATTTGGATATTAATTTTGCAGCTGTTGAGGGAATAATACATAACCTGCGTTATCTGTCTATATAAATAGTCATATAAATTAGGATTAAAAACATTGAATATTGTTCATACGTCATTGTATGGCTTATTGATGGAAGAGCCACCGCTCAAGAAATCCGTACAGGTGGCCTGTTAAGCAGCGTTTAAGTTCTGAATAAGGACCGTGGTTTTCATTCAGTGATATTCAGTGAATGTAAATATGGGAATATGATTTAGAATTGAATATTATTGGGAATTTCGAATTTATCTTAAATATTAACGTCGAGATCAGTAATGAAAATAAAATGCAATTGTAATTGAATTTCATCATGTAGTCTTTGTGGAAACTGCCTGTTTCATTCATTGAATTTTAGCCAATATATAGTTTAAATATTCTACAAGTAACTTGTCTGAGAGTGTCTCGGCAAATTTCCCCTCCACGTGGTCTTTAGGATTATATCATTTAAAGAATGCATGAATGTGACTCAAATAAATAAGAAAATCGGTAAAATTTATTCTACTTCTATTTCCATTCTTGTCGTTTGGACTTTTTTCCCCAATTTTTATAAGCAGTACCCTTTAAGTGTCTGAAGACATTGTCACACGATTTAAGTGTCTCTTTAAGTTCGATCTGAAAGCTGATACTTCCTCTTCGTCTCCTCCCTCCGGAAATTCTACATACGATTTTGATTCTATCAGATCCATCAGAGAAAACGGCAGTTTTTTCATGACATTTTCCTCTAAAGCCACGAGAAAAAGAACATTTTCACCATTTCGCGAATAAATAGATTCCATTCGAGCCATATTCAGTTCAAACATACACCAGTATGATTCTAAAAAATGTGACGTCATAATACAAACAGTTTGTCTGCTGTTATGAATGGCATTTGTAATGTTATCTTCAATACCTGTCCCTGGGATGAAATCACGATGATGTATACACAGCCTTAAGTTGCTTTTATCTTCCAGAAATTTCACAAGGGAAATAACAAATTGTCTGTCACTGTCAGCATAAGACATGAATGCATCAAAATGATATTGTTTTCCATGAGTGTTGTGGCTATATAATTCGTTATCTTTGTACTTTTCTCTAGCGACATAGTACATATATCTCAATTTCCACCTGTATCTATAGAGAATGCGACTGAGAGCGGTTGTTAAGGCGACGATTATTAATGACGTCATAACCACGATAAGAAGAATATAAGAAAAACACTGTTTCTCCAAAGTCTGTAGTAAATTTTCAATGTCAGAAAAATGAATCTTTGATGAATTTGAGAAAATACACGAATAACTATGGAAATGTAAAAATTTCACCTTTCTAGAAGTGTGCATCCATTTTATAAAATCTAAGTTTTCACAATCGCATCTTAATCTGTTTCCCTTTAAATTCACTGAGATTTCTTTGTCTTGTGATATCGAATCTAGTGCGTTTCTCGTTTCCTCATCTAAAGACGGTAACTGGTTATTTGAGAGGTCCAAATTTAAGAGATTTGTCATATGATTTATAGGTATCGAAAACTCATTCAAAGAATTATAACTGACATCAAGATTTTCCAATTTATTCAGATTGCGGAATATTTTATTCGGAAGGGAAACAACTCTGTTCCGCTTTAAGTCCAAACTGGTCAACATACGAAGATATTGAAAAATATCTCCATTTTTATCCCTTTCTAAAGTTTCGCCTAATGCATTATGGGACAGATTGAGGTAAGATAAATTTCTAAAATATTGAAAGAAATTTGATGAGATGTGGCCGCAAAAATTATTGGAGAAATCTATATGTTCAACACTGCCAACTCCTACAATAGGGCCATTTAATTCGTAGATGATATTGTTTTGCATATAGATATGTGTCAACATTTGTTTATGGACATACTTGAAAACATAATCCTGTAGTGTAAACTTGTACAAATTGTCGTGAAAATAAAGCGTTTTCAGATTTCGTGGCAGGTATATACTTATATTAACATTTCCTTTCAAGGATGATGACAATTTAGAGTTCCTCCTCCAGATATTGGGATGTTCTTTGAATCTAGTGCCGACTGCTCGGGTATCGTTACATTTTATCAAAAATTCTTTGGTAAGCAACTGACGGAAAGAAGCTTGAAAGCTTACATTTAGACTGACTATATTGGGCAAATCGCCAAACTCCGCCAAATAAAATCCAAAACTCAGAATATTATTAGCCAAATTCAGACGTTTGAGGGACTTTGGTAATTCTGTTAGAACCCCTGTTTCTAGACTGTTGATGCGATTTGACGCTAAGTTCAGTTCCTCCAGCTTTGTATGCCTAAGAAAAGCAGTGTGATATTTCATGAGATTGAAGCTGACTCCATATGTACATTGTAATTTTTCAAAATGTAAAACTCGGATTAAAGAAGAATATTGCAAATCTCTCGATACATTTACAAGAACTTCTATAGTTAATTCCTGATTACCTGAAATATCAAGATGTAGCAGTTTTGAGGAGTTCTCAAAAGTACCAAGCTCAACAGTCCTAAGTTTATTGTTAGAAACACTTAAATTTCTCAAGTCTTTATATTTGCTCAATGACGTTACATCAATTTTTTGCAGTTTGTTCTTCGAGACGTCTAAATATAGTATTCCCCTGGGAAGGCTTTCTGGGAAATTCGAAATTCTGTTTTTTGCTAGATTTATTCTTGTGACGTCATCATTGAAAGATGGTGCTGTTGTAAGGTGAAGGTTTTCACAATTTGCCCATACGTTTCCTTGGTAGTTTTGACATCTACATCTTTTGTCTGACGAACATTCAAGAGATTCTACTTTGAAACGTGTTGCAAGTAAAACAAAAAAGCAAAGAAGTCCAAACATGGCGTTTGAATATTCCGATTTTCTACAAGCAGATTGGATAAAATTAGTATATGCATTAGATAATAAAACAGTGATGGCAATTCTTTTTCTGCATTATTATTTTTAAGAGAATACATACCTCTAAATGAAATCTTTTCAGGTACAATTTACTCTATCTGTTAGAAAAAAAAAAGATAAATGAAGACAATAATCTCGATTTTTAAAATATATTCATTTAGTCAAACATGGATCATAATGAGATAATTGAAAAACAACTGATTTTTTTTTGAAAAGCTTACATTAGAAAGTGATTATACAAGGGCTATATCGAGATAATTTAAAAAAAAAGAGTTTCTTTTTCTCTTTATATATATATAAAAAACTTACATGAATAAACTAACGTCGGAGAACTTAAGAACGTCAAAGCCAAAGCATTTAAACTAAGTGGGATGAATGAGTTTTAAACATTTAAAATATAATTGCATGTATTTACCTTTGTAGCAGGAAATGGATAGCTGGAAAGATTTAAAGTTTATCCATCTAGTTTTTATACTTAATATGACTGAAATCAGTAAGGCATAAATATATTATGTACAGGAAGGGTGATTATTTTTGTCTCTCATAAGACAAAGTACAATACATTTGCTTTCACTAACATGACACTTCCTTGCATTGCTAAAAATTTTATTTAACAAAAAGATGGGATTGAAAATGATAATTCAGGTACATCTAATGCACCTCCGGAGGAAAAGTCGAAAAAAGAAGATTTCGCGGAATTATTGTTAAAGAGAAAAGTTTCATAATAGAAACGTTATGATTTGTAACTTTCATAATACATGTACTTTTTCTTACCACAGGGAATTTTCTTTATGAGACACATTCATTTAAAGCCTATTGCTTTGGTATATTTTTTTAAAAAGGATTCCTATTCCGTAAATGAAAATATTCACAGGTGTTTATAATGGTCTTGGATGCTATATTAAGAATATTTTTTCCCTGATTCAAAAATATCGATTGCTGAGTTAAATAGTTAATTTTTCTCCATAGCGCTTATTTGAGAGTTACTAGGAACAGTTTTTCCTTTCTATAAATAGAATAATCATAAAACAAACATACCTTTAAGATTTAACACTTTATTTAAAGCAATGCAAAAAATAATTTTTATATAAAAAAAGTAATTGCGCATTCAATTTAAAAATTATTTAAGAAATAAGGTATCATTTTTAAACATCTATCGGGATATAAATACGGGTTGGTCACGAGATCAAATTCCATAAAGCCCGAAGGGCTTTATGATAAATTTGATCTCGTACCAACCCGTATTTATATCCCGATAGATGTTTTAAAATGATACCTTATTACTTATATTTACATTTGTGACTTCTTCATATTATATATTAGCCTGATTATAACTTTAACGCGTGAAATGTTTTATTTTTTCAAACTCAACGGCACGAGTTTGATCTATTGATTGCGCGTCAATCCTTTATGACGTCACTGAGAAATTACGTCGAACGTTTATGACGCGAGGAACCTGTGTTTATACGGATATAGATACGCGTTGCTTTTAATAGTGTTATATAAAAGAAAACATTTGCAAATGTAAATATTTTAATTTATACTAATGAATTCAAGTATGAGAGAAGAGCTTATAATTACCTACGAAGCCTATAACGAGTGCTTGTGAATGTTAAGAACAGTGTTGAAAAACTTTCTGCGATTGTATACAGGCTGTATGCTTTTACTTCTATATGGAAGTAAATCCTTAAATTGAAAAAGTAATGATTAAATCTTTCTCTCTCTCTCTCTAGTTCTCTAGCGATGCATGTCTCAAGTCAAATTTGTTACCTAAAGGCTTAATCCTCTAAGAAATATGCGCATCATCATGCATTAAATAGATTTGTGTTTTTTTTTTTAAAAAAACCTTCCGGGTTGTATTGCAATCTTCTAAGTATTTCAAACGGATGTGATCTCTTAGCTATATTTTTATTGCGAATATACAGAAAAACCTAGCTATTTAAATTTAAAAAAAAATAGTAAGATAATTTACCAATTGCTTGCCACACAATTTTCTTTTTTTTTTTAAATTGCACAATATTTATCCTTACAAAATGGAGATAAGAACAACATCAAACTACGCATTTAAAGATCCATAAAGAAAGTTGGGTCGATCTGAATCACGCCATTGAATTTACGATAGAGGTCACGACAGGTTAACATGAATGATGGAATCAATTTTTATTTTTTGCCTCTGCTCTTTGTTGTTCGGGAAATTTAATGCACACAAAGCTAACGTGATACCTAGGTAAAATGGTTTTTTTTTTTTGGTTCATCAGATAAACTAAGGAGACCTTTCAGTGTATGATAATGACTTAAATTTCAGATTGCATTTTTTTTTTAAATTGCTGGATTCGTGAATTTAATCTTAATTAAAAAATGTCAAAGATAACAGTGACTGATAATATCAATTGAACTATTAAATACTTACCATGGTGTATTACACAATTGATTTTTTTTTAATCTTATCAAGACTTGCATTTAAAAAAAATGTATTAATTTACTCTACTTTAGAAAAGGAAGTTTTCATTTCCTGCTCTTCTTTTTAATTAAATTGCTTTTGATAATACATCCTTAGATAAGTATTTCAAATAGCATTTGTTTTTCACATATATCTGAACAGATGAATAAAGGAATAAAAAATAAGAATACCAATATTATATATATATAAACCTCCTTTGTTAAGTAAATTTTAAGAAATTGCTCTATTACAAACAGAAAATCTTATTAATAGTATGTGGTATGTACCACCCGAGCATAAATGGTTGATAGAGATTAATTTGCATTTATATTCCAAAATGTCCAAAATCATTCAGTCATCACTCCTCATAGGTCATAGGTTATGTTTGTGTAACATGATGTGCTTCTGTTTTTTTTTTTTTTTTTGTAATTTTCTTATATTTTCTCTCTAAACATAACATGCCTCCGATATCTTTCAATAATTAAAAATTTTGTTTTAAAATGGACTCTTTTTCACTGTTATTTGCTTTTATAGATATGGAAAAGATTTAGGCTCGTTAAGAAATGCCAATTGCAATAATAAAAAAGGATAACTGTGTACAGGGAAATTTTTGCCCCCGTTTTATTTTTGTCCCTTTCGCCCTACTCACACTTGGGCAAATTTAGAACGGGGCGAATTCGAAGAACACAGCATTATTTATTAAACAGAACTGTGACTGTACGGATTTAAAACGGGAAAAAAATGTTTGCAAATGTGAAAGGGCGAAAATAACCCTGTATACAGTAGTATCGTGTATAGAATCTATAATTTCTGCAGTAAAAATTTTCTAAATTCGGAAAACATAGCATTCAGAATGGAATCAATCGAAGCAAGTTAACGTATGGAATTAGAGCAGCTATTTGAGAAATTATATTCTACTATCAGAATGAAGAATCTGAATAGTTTTGTTAGATATTACAGTCAAGAAAACGTTATTATGTATTTGTAAAACATCAGAAGATGATAATGAAAGCGCTAACTTTTTAACCTGTGTTGCCTTTCTTTTTTTTAATTTTATCTATATAAAAACCGGACACTGCGAATGTTTCAAATTTCGATATATATATATATATATATATATATATATATATATATATATATATATATATATATATATATATATATATATATATATATATATATATATATATATATATATATATAACAGTTTCTTTATAGCATAGGTTTCAACAAGGTGTAATGTTTTGAGAGAATGCTTTGGTTGTTTTTCCTAATCTTTCAAATTGCTGAAAATGTCAATTTTCCAAAATTTTCCAGCTGTTGCCATGGAAACCAAGACACAAAGCAATTTGATATGTTTCTGTTTTCAAGCAGTAATAATTTTCAAAGTTTCATCAAAATTGGTGACGATACGTGGCAAAGAAATTTACGTGGTTGCATAATATGGCAATTAAAATCACCATGAGAAACCAGTGCATGAGTAATTATATGTATTTTTCTCAAGTTGATGTGTGCTGTATTTTATTACTAATTATATTTAATCAACATAATTATACATACCCTGTACCACAACACGTCCTGTAACAGCCCTCGACCAATATCAGCCTTCGGCCCTGTGGATGATATTGGTGTCTCGGGCTGATAAAGGATGGAAAAGGGTACGTATTATTCTCTATTTATTTATTTCCAAGCAAATTAATTTTACTGTTTGTTAATTATTTCTTATCAATCAAAGAAACAGCTTCAGGTAACCGTCTCTCGTTGCGCCCTTTCAGTGGTTACTTTATTTTCCTACCTCATTCTCAGGAATAACTATTTGTTTTCTTCTCCTACCATTCCTAATTCTTTTTTTCAGGTCCTGCAATGAATAATAGTCTTTATAATTTATGCAGTTGTTAGATAGCTAAAGTACGTACAAAAATTACATCATTTTAGTTTGGAGGAAACAAAACTATTAAAAGAAAATCAAAATACAAATATAGACCTATATGCAGTTTTCAGAAGAAAATAACAGGTATCATAATATTAGTAGTTACATACATTAAATACAATTAAAATGAACAGAAAAGTTACATATACTTTGGCGAACATGACACAGGGGAATACAAACATCATCAGTTCTGTTTTATATCCTTGTTTGACAGAAATGGGTTAACTACAAAACATTGCAATTATATTTTAAATGCCTTAATCATACATTATGAACAAAATATATGGAAGGCCAAAAGGATATATATACTACTTGGGGATGCATAACACTCTATTATAGGCCTATAGTTAGTAGAGAGTCAGTACATAAACATCAGGGACTTAGTGTTTTCGTATTTGTTCATAAAATAAAAAAAAGTTGATGTTAACATAAGTATACTGTGTTAAGTACCATTATAATTAAAATACAAGCTATCAGTACGTGTAATTCCACCTTATTTCTTCTATTCATGGTAACTTCCTTGTTCATTTTGTAGTTTTCATTTTGTCAATTGTATATTATTCTTAACAATGTGTCTTTTGCTTTGTTTTGTCCATTGGTAGTTGATAGTCCATGTCATATTGTGAGTTATAAGAAAAGAAATACGTATATATTTAACGCTGCATTTTGGACTAGGTCCGCTTTGAACTGTTTGCATAAATTGAATCTGCAAAAATCTACTTGAACAAA